TACTTTTTTACATAGTGCTTTGGGCTAGCTGTCGTTTGTCTTTTGTTGTTTTATCGTTTAATTTTTTTGCCATGGTTATTGTCAGTTTGTCTTCAACTTACAAGTTTTTAATATCCTTTTGGTACTTTCTGTTTCATTTTTTTTTTGTATCAGTTTCCTTAAAAATCATTACTTTGTTCAATATTATGATGATGCCAAAGAAAATCGTTGAAACGTCAAAGTAAGTGGTTAAGCTAGTTAAGAATACGAGGCTGGGATACAAGGCAGTGGTGGGTCCATTGGGGTCTGATCCTTACTTATCTCCTAAGATTTGTTTTAAAATTATTTGAGAAGTTTAGCTTCGAACTCCCTTTTTTATGTTTTTAAGGCTTTATGATTGGCTAGGGTATTGAAATATGGACACTAATGGGTTTTGTCCAAATTCAGCAGTAAAACGCACACTAAAGGGGGACGTATATTTTTGTATTTGCGGTATCTTATATAAATGCAAAGCCACGTCCGTCGGGTCGGAGAAGAATTGGTATGCTACATGCCCTCATTTTTCCCGTGGCAGTCAAAATTGCCACCATTCATTCCAGTAAACCCACTTTGTCGAACCTACACATTAGACTTAGTCTTAATTTGTTCTCGTCTTGATTATAGATGAACTATTTGTAACTGTTTGTTAGGCATCAACAATCTAATAATCAATAAGGTTTTTCTAAGACACTCGAATGGAAGAGGGATCCTTCATTTCAGAATTCTGTAAATATTTAGGTCATTTTTCTCAATTCTCTATATTTTGGCTACCCATTATTCTCTATTCTTTATATTTTGGCACCCAATTATTCTCTATTCTTTATTTTTTTGTCCAATTTTTCTCGATTGTTTAATTTTGGGCTCATTTTTCTGTAGATTTGGCTTTGGTAGAATTATTCTCTATTCTGTAAACCCCACTAGACCCTCTATCATCGTTTTCATGTTTAAAATTGTATAACTCAACTCCTGCTTAATTTGAACAATCTGTGTTAATTACAGATTATTTGTTCCTATTGCTGTAATTACTCAACTAATATACCCAACCCCTTCCTCCAAACCTCCAGAACAGGTTCTTTTAAATTCTGATCTTTATCTGGGTCAATTTTAAATTATCAGATATACTCTGTTTCTTGTCTGTCTGTTTTCTGTTTATATTGGCATTTATAAAGAATGTGAAAGAGAGGCGAAAGATACCCAAGAGACATTCAAACTCATGAGTTGAATACAAAACTGTCAATGCCATGGCAAAAAACGAAAAACAACGAAAAGACAAACAAATGTACACAAAACACAACATAGAAAACTAAAGACTGAGCAACACGAACCCCACCAAAAACCGGGGTCTCAGGTGCTCCGGAAGGGTAAGTTGATCTTCGTGTTGCTCAAGTTAGTACAAACCCGATGATAAGTATAATTCGGTAGGTCACATTCGAGGCAAAGAGGACGGGATTTTGGTTACAACAGATGAAACATATCCGTCGCCATCTGTGAAACGGATATTCCATAACGCTCAACTATTTGGTTACCGAAATTGAACCATTGTGATTACCGATTGTATTGAATGATTTCCGTAATCCATAATTCACTCTTTTTTTTAATATTTGAACTTGTACCGTTGGTTGATAAATATCAGGTGCTCCGGAAGGGTAAGCAGATCCTGCTCCACATGTGGCACCCGTCGTGTTGCTCATGTTAGTACAAACCCAGTGATAAGTGTAATTCGGTAGGTCTCTTTCGAGGAAAAGAGGACTGGATTGTGTATGTTGTGGTTACAACCGATGAAACATATCCGTCGTCATCTGTGAAACAGATATTCCATAACGATCAACTATTAAGTTACCGAAATTAAACCACTGTGATTACGGAATGTATTGATTGATTTACGTAATCCATAATTCACTCTTTTTTTTTAAATAATAGAACTTGTACCGTTGGTTGATATAGTCGATCGTTTTGTTTTCTTAGGTTTTATGGAAGTCCCCCTTTTAACCTAGGAGTTCGGTATTTTTTTTATACATTCTTTAGAACCGTTATATCAGCAAGTTGAACTGCGTAAATTTATAAAGTCTTTCACCATTGGTCAAAGCGTACCTGAGACCCCCGGTTTTTGGTGGGGTTCGTGTTGCTCCAGTCTTTAGTTTTCTATGTTGTGTTTTGTGTACATTTGTTTGTCTTTTCGTTGTTATTCGTTTTTTGCCGTGACATTGTCAGTTTTGTATTCAACTTATGAGTTTGAATGTCTCTTGGGTATCTTTCGACTCTCTTTCACATTCTTCATCAATGCCAATATAAACAAAAAATAAACAGACAAGAAACAGAGTATATCTGATAATATAAAATTGACCCAGAAAAAGATCAGAATTTAAAGGAACCTGTTCTGGAGGTTTGGAGGAATGGGTTGGATATATTGAGTAATTACAGCAATAAAAACAAATAATCTGTAATTAACAGAGATTGTCCAAATTACACAGGAGTTGAGTTATACAATTTAAAACATGAAAATGATGATGGAGGGTTTAGTGGGGTTTACAGAATGGAGAAAAATTGGCCAAATCTACAGAAAAATGAGCCCAAAATTAAACAATCGAGAAAAATTGGACAAAAAATTAAAGAATAGAGAAAAATTGGACAAAAAATTAAAGAATAGAGAAAAATTGGACAAAAATTAAACTGGAATAGAGAATAATTGGGTGCCAAAATATAAAGAATAGAGAATAATAGGGTGACAAAACATATAGAATTGAGAAAAATTACCTAAAAACTGAAAAAATTCAGAAATGAAGGGAACCCTCTTCCATTTACGAGAAGTGTCTTAGTAAAACCTTATTGATTATTAGGTTGTTGATGCCTAACAAACAGTTACAAATAGTTCATCTATAATCAAGACGAGAATAAATTAAGACTAAATCTAATATGTAGGTTCTGCAAAGTGGGTTTACTGGAATGAATGGTGGCAATTTTAACTGCCACGGGAAAAATGAGGGCATGTAGCATACAAATTGTTCTCCGACCCGACGGACTTAGCTTTGCATTTATATAAGATACCGCAAATACAAAAATATACGTCCCTCTTTAGTGTGCGTTTTACTGCTGAATTTGGACAAAACCCATCAGTGTCCATATTTCAATACCCCAGCCAATCATAAAGCCTTAAAAACATAAGAAAGGGAGTTCGAAGCTAAACTTCTCATATAATTTTAAAACAAATCTGAGGAGATAAGTAAGGATCAGACCCCAATGGACCCACCACTGCCTTGTATCCCAGCCTCGTATTCTTAACTAGCTTAACCACTTACTTTGACGTTTCAACGATTTTCTTTGGCATCATCATAATATTGAACAAAGTAATGATTTTTAAGGAAACTGATACAAAAAAAAATGAAACTGAAAGTACCAAAAGGATATTAAAAACTCGTAAGTTGAAGACAAACTGACAATAACCATGGCAAAAAAATTAAACGATAAAACAACAAAAGACAAACGACAGCTAGCCCAAAGCACTATGTAAAAAAGTAATTGCTCGAGCCCCACCGAAAAACGAGGGACAGTCCGATTTTTCCGTGGAAGGGTTAGCAGAACCTGCTCCACATGTGGCAACAATCATGTTGCTCATTACAAGTACAAGTTCGAAGTGAGCTTCACATTGTGTCTAGCGGCTGATTATCTACGATATCTATACTTAGAAAACCCCGATAATCTGTTTGTCGTTCTATTACTGGTCTTATATCCTCTCTTGATAACGTCTCCTCACATACTGTGACGTTGCTGATAACTTCACCTCCGACATTATGACGTCGCTGATAATGCCTGCTCAGGTCTCAAAGCCGTCATATGAGAATTACAGAGCGACTGAGCAGGGTCATATAGGCTAAAGGAATCTTCTATATGTTCTTAAATTATATCCTTATATCCATTGATCGATTGATTGATTGGTGTTTAACGCCACTTTTAACACTGTTGGTGTCGAATATAGCAGATTTTTGTTTTTATGTTGGATGACATAACTGAAGTTTACGATGATTTATTAGAAAAATTCAGTTACGTCGTCTCACTCGAATGGCACGCCTGTAACAGTGTGCTCTGTTTTTGGCATTGATGCAAGTGTAAAAACAAAGAAAATTGTTTGGGAAAAAAAGCGCTGTGTTCATGACATTTTTTGTTAAGTCTTTCTTACTTAGTTTAGCTAACAAATCGGGGGCAGGAGCAGAAGGATTTTGAAAATGAATATGCTGGAGCTGAAAAATATAAACATGCATAGCGACAGATTAAAATGAATGGGTCAATATGTAAAAACTCCTCCTGTCACCTCCCCTCCTCAGTATATCAAATATCTAAAAGGAAGAAGAGAGACAGAAAATCTTCCAAATGCAAAAAAACAGAAACGGACATCTTCTGGCTCAATAAGGAAGAACAAAAAACACGCCCAGGTCTTCTACCTTCTGAAATATATTTTATAGGTACTTGGGGACAGCACAATTTTTTTTCAGTCGTCCATCTATTTTCCAAAATCCGTTATTTTTTTTTCCTGTTAATTTTTAATTTTTTCGCGTTTTTCTGTATTATATGAAACATAAATATACTAGAAACAACTTGTATTTGCTATTTTCTATCAATTCCAAGTTTACTATCCACAGCGGTCACTGATATATTATATAAAGAAAAATAATTGAAATTAACAGAAAACTAAAAAAATAACGGATTTTGGAAAAAAAAGGGAGAGGGCTAAAAAAAAATGTGATGTCCCGAAGTACCTACGATATATTTAGCTTTAAACAAATAAATAGTTTACGCCGTAGACGGCGTCGCTGGATATTATAGTAATGAGGCCCCAAGTAATCACTATGATGTCTCTCATTCTGCATGCGACGAAGAAGCACTAAATAATACTACCCTGGCAATTCTAACATAAACAAAATTGTCTATATGTATAACGTTGTGACGTATATTTGCATGTGGTTGTGAAATCCCCAGTTTCTATTTTTAGCCTTTACTCTATTTCTTTCCATTGCACCACCACAAATCATCTGGACTCAGTCAACATTTAATTTGACTTTATTCTTCGTGCAGCTGCTCATTGGAAAGGTAAGGTTTAATAACTGTTTAAAATTCAACGTTATTATTTGCTAATTATTTCATAATCTTATTGATTAAATATGTAAATGTTATATGCGTTATACGAGAAATAACCCAGCAATAATAGATATAATATTCAGTGAAGATTGGCACACCACTTGATCGAAATAATACCAATATATAGTGTATTAAGAGTGTTATGTACATGTTCACTGTGATTTTTTCTTCCGTAAACCTGTATAAAACAAAACGTGTATCGACATTTTATGGTGTTGTTGGGTACTATCATAATATCACAGGGTGGTGACCAATGGGTGGGGTTGTTTGACATGTACAGAGTATAAGATATAAGCAAAAAGTAATTGAAAAAAGTTTTGCATTTAAATCATGTAGATGTTAACGAATTGAACTTTGAAACACCAGTTCCATCATGCCTGAACATGAAAGGGTACACGTGTCGGTCTAAATAAGGGTAAACACAATATATTCTCTTATTACTTGCTATTATTTACATTTCTTTTATGTTAAAGAGGTGCGTGCGATGTATCTCTGAAATCGATGCGGAAGCAACATAACTTCCTCGTTATAACAATGTGAAAAATGTAAAATTTGAAAGTAATTCAAATGTAAACAAACACCTGAATGATTAAATACACGTATATTCATACATTTATATTGATTTAATTGTTTGGCTTGTATCCAGACAACTTAGGGTAAAAGCCAATACCGTCAGCATTTTTTTTTATCCAGGTAGGAAAATTGTCGGTCACTCCTATATTTAGATCTTGTTTTTAAGTTTTAGGCTGTAAATTAAAGTAAGGTAAGTCATATCTGAATATTATAAACATAATAACTGCAGGTCAAGAATTACTCAAGTTTTAATACATATTAATAAACCGTATATTATGTTAGAAATGCGACGAGTCTTGATTACTTAAAGTTTGCTTCGTAATTATTATTTTAATGGTATTCAATTAACATGTTTTGACACACAATATGAGAGGACATTTTGTGTTGTGCAATAATTTTTTTCTTATCGAAAATCTCACATTTTATCCTGTTTTTATTAACCATGCAGAACCAATTTGCCAGTATATTCAGAAAGTTGAATGTATATGGAAGAAGACATTAACTAAAAGGTTTTAAAAAATGCCTTCCTTATTCAACTATATAGTTTATTTCATTATTTCCGTCAACCGTCCAACCAATGCCCATGTAACAGTGGGACTTTTCAATACACCTTCAATATAGCAAATATCTATTTTAATTACATCATTTAAATGGGATCTCGTCCTGAACATGCATTAAATATTTGCCACTGGACGGTAAACAAACAACAATTAATGAATACAAATGGGATGTGAATTTACTGTACATACAATCTTAATTGTTGATTTTAGGGAAAATGTTACAAAGTGCAAATGATAATATAAAGTTAACAACTTTTCGGGATACCGGTTAATGATATTGATCCATTGGTAGATGAATGATTTCAGGGGGTTAATCCATTGTTTGATGGACGGTTTCAGGGGGATCAAACTAGGAACTTGTTCAGTGTCTTGAAAAAACTGACACAGATGGTCTGAACAAATGATCCTTTAGAATATGTTCGCTGAAATAAAAAAAATAAGATTGTTTGCACTAAAGATTTATAACCAATTTGGGCTAATCTGTCCAAAACAGGTTGTTATAACTCATTTAAGTAATTGTTTTCAACTTGTTAAAGGACAAAACTACAAAATATTTGTACTATACAAGTTCATTGTGCATGCTACGTATTTCTGAAATAGACAATCAGGTAGACTCGGTACCAAACCGCCGCGGTTACGGAATCCAACTACAACTAGCGATTTGGAGTTTCAAAACAAAAACAGAAAAAAAGATATATCGTCAACTTTGCCAGGCTGAGAAATGAAACGGGTTTAAAACATCACATTGTTAATAAATTGACTATTTACAGTCATACATAAGAATCACTGTCTACATGGAGGATTGTTTCATCAAGCAATTACATCGATAGTCAAGGAGGTATTAGGCCCGAGAACACAGTTATTTCGTAGTGCATTTCTTTTAGACAATAAATACAAATTAAAAAAATCGCACCTGCTCTATCTCAAAAAGATATTTACAGTGTAGTGTACTACTATTGATACAAAAAATATCAAAATTATAGAAACTTCTACCAGCTCTAACTCAAAATATTGACAATTCTGTGTTAAGGGGGGCTAAAATTCAGTTTGACAGCTTCAGACATTCTAATTTTTGACCTTTTTTAACTGGACCAAATCACTACTTAACATAAAGATTCAGCACCCAATTTTTTTTAACATGTAATTTCATCCCCTTACTTAATATTTCATGCATAAAATATCAAGAAATAAAATGGGAAAGTGTATCAAAAAAAAAAAGCAAGTTATACACTGTTCATACTAGGGACTATATTTGTAGAGGACGATAACTGTGTCCTTGGACCATTATATTGAAAAAGAAATGTACGTACAGTGAGAATGACACCTGCATCTAGTATAACCTTCGCTAGGTTGGTTCCCTCCGTAAAATATTAAGTATGCCTTCGAAATATACAAATACTTGTCAAATAACGGCCGAGTACCAGTATAAACCTCCGAGACCAGCTATATTGAAAGCCCATTGAAAATGACGTGTCGTTGCTTCAGAACAAATAAATAGGAAATAAATAAAACATTTAAACGGCTAAGTTGGAAACCTTCATTTAAATACATTTATATCATTAAAAGAGAAACATTACCAGAGCTCCAGATAAGAATTCACAAATTGGGGTTTTTACCCACCATTTTTTTATGTAATTGGGTGATAAAGTTTTTTAATTGCATTATCAATTCCAATTCACCCCTCAAGCAAATATCAAATTGGGTTTTTCACCACCAAGCTCCTTAATGTATTGGGTTTTTTCATCAACACAATATTAAATATTTAGGCATGTTATAATCACATTATATCAACCCCAGATGTGTTTCCATCTTAAATGTGTTTCTTTCTTTGTATATGTGCTTAGCTGTTTTATTTGGTTTATTCACTGACGAGCAATTGTACGTTTAATTTGTGTCCCGTTTTAAACGTTCTGTCAGTTTTGTATTTTCTCAAAACTTATGTAAACTGCAGCTGGTGTTACTAGTTGGACAGTAACTAACTGCCTTTCTAGATCCCATATGATCACCCTACAGTTTATAGTTGGGATAGGTGTTACTAAGTGTTTAGATTTTTATGTAATATATGTGAAATTTAGGTGTTGTAAGAAAGTTTTGCAAGTCCTTTCACCTATTTGCCAGATATACTTTTTAATAAAAAATAAAAAGTAGTTCCCAGATTTAAGATATACCCCAAAACCTTGAGATTTATAGGGTGGTTTAATGATGGAGACCACATTTTACAAATTTACAAATAATTCTGCAACATCAAGTAAATAAATGACAATGTTATACTGCACTTGCCAATAAGACAACTATCTTAAGCATCCAGAACAATTAGACCAAAACAAAGAAAGTGTCAAGATGCATAATTTGACGTAAAAAACGGATATGTGTATTCCTTTATCAACTTAAGTGAAAAAAATAATATATAAACTGTTTTTGTTTAATTCAATTTACATATATCTGGGTTAAGTTGTCCCTTATCAGAACTTTTGGTTTCCGATGCTTTCCAACTGATTTCGTTTTTGACGAAACCCCGTGTTTATCGTTCTATAGCAATGTTCTCGTTAAGGTACGCAAGCACGCCCGTGCGTTCAATGGACGCTTCCTAAAATCACTAGCTGAGTCTTGTTATCATCATAACTTTCCCTCAGCTATCAAAAAGAAGCCGAAAACATGCTTCTATTCAATATTTTTATCGGACATTTACTTTCGTTTTAATTCATTGTATGTTATGATAAATCCCGAGCAATTCGAAAAATTTGACAGCATGTCACACGCTAATTGGATAAACGCCGAGCAGATCGAAATGTTTTCATAAACACGTGTACCTTTTGAGCAACGGAAAATTCCAACAGGGACCCATTACAGCTACTTGATGCAGGGCTCTATTTTAAAAGAACGAAAGGACATTTCCAATTATAAATATTATAAAAATAGATTTACGCGACGACTGTAGTCAGATAAGGGTAAATAACGCAAACGATAGCGAATAAAAGAGTTAAGAACTCATGGTTTTGGCATATTATTGGGTTTTCCTTTGAATTAATTGGGTTATTGAACCCTGCAATGGGCAAATGCATTGGGTTTTTAATTATTTGTATTGCGTGATCACGCAAATACGCAGCTTATCTGGAGCTCTGCATTACTATCACAATGTATTCTTTAAATCATATCAGTGCCGTAAGCTTTACATCTATCATCTCGCTCGCTCATTCTAAAACAGAAGCTCACACTTTATGAACAAACATATTCAAAGTTGGTAATATGAAGTTATCAGATTATCAAAGTTGAAAAGGGGGTGGTGGGCCCAAACAAGAAAAAAATTGTAGAGGAACCGCTAAAAATTCTGGTATAACCATAAATGAAGCGCTCCATAACTTAGGGGGTGGGCGGGTTCCCCGGGCCCCCTAGATCCGCCTCTGGTTAAAATAGAACGGAGGGACGAATTTTATATGCAGTATTGTAAGGGTGAATATTTATGAATAGTATGTTTAAACAAGCGAGAAACCGTAATAGCAGACATTTAACATAACACTTGAGACACTCGCACACTAATAGACATATATAATCACTGCTCTCTAACAAGACTTTGTTTTAGTAATCGATAGTTTCAAATCAACAATTTAAAAGGAACTTGTATTATTGCAGAGCTAAACAGAAAGTCATCCACAATGTCGACTTCAAGGCGGGGAGATGAATCAATATACAGAATCCCTCCTTATTTTTACCTCCATGTTCTAGACCAGAATCTCAATGTTACAAGACTTGAGATTGGTCCACAGACATTTGTCAGACAAGACAATGAAAAGTAAGTATTACTATAGCCTATTTATTCCGGTGAGTAGAATTTCCGGTAAATGAATTGTCCTAGTGTATATCTTCCTCACACTAGTGTGTTTATTACGTCAGAAGTACAACCTTAGGGAAAAGTTATCGTGGATTTTTATTACACCAAAAGGACAGAGTACACTGCCGAAATGAGATTCAATGTTACATTACCGGCCATGAAACTGGTCAAACTTAATATTGACAAGATCGACTTGCGGCATATCATATGTAAGACAGGTCAGGCAAATTTAAAGTAAATTTTTATCAGGTTATATTTTTCAAAGTCAATACCGTAATAAGCTGGATATACTACATGTAATGTGTATTGATATTTACAGAGTGGTATATGGACCAGAGCGTATGATCACTGTACCCCCAAGGCATTATTGTATCGTAGAAAACCCGGTACTGAGGGACAAAGAATCTAAAGTTGTCTTTGATGAAAGTGGACAGGCCAAACTTGTACATGCTGACCAAGAGATTAGATTGGCACAGGATCCTTTCCCTTTGTATCCTGGAGAAGTACTGAAACAGGTATGATATTAGTGATAACATGTGCCAGATTTGATCTAGCAATGAACAGCATATAGTGGTTAGACTAAATGTAAATGAATAATTATTACTTGTCGAAAATACACATTTAATACTTGATGTTTTAATTCAAGCTTTTGGGCATGGGTTCCCCTAAAATGGTTCTTGTGGGCATCTTCAGTAACATATTACTGATCAGGGTTAAGTAGTATATATACTTTAATATCTTAAGCTTTACAGCTCATTGGTTACATGATATACTAGTAATATTTGCAATTAGCATAATGAAGAAAGGAAAGTTATTATGAATTCTCATTGACTTTCAATGATATCACCTCCACGGCTGACCCATTCGTTGTCACCAATAAGTTTCCTCCTTTGTTGTTTGTAGGTTGTAACTCCTCTAAAAAATAGTGGCAGTAACTGATTTGATTTCCCCCTTGTTGTTTATTGGTTGTAGCCTACCTAAATGAAGTAGCAGCTGATTTGATTTTTCTCCTTTGTTGTTTATAGGTGTATCACCGTTGAAAGTAATTGCAGTTTATTGGATTTTCTCCCTATTTGTTTATACGTTATAACCTAATGACATTGGTAGCAGCTGATTTGATTTTCTTGCTTGTTGTTTATAGGTTGTAACCGCCCTGAAAGTGGTAGCAGCCAACTCAGCTCTTCGTCTCAGAGCTATTCTTGACTTTGAAGATGATGATGAGGAAAAGAGAACAGCTGGGGATGAGTGGCTATTTGAAGGACCAGGAACATATATCCCAAGGAAGGAGGCTGTTATTGAGGAGACTGTCAGGGCCACAGTCATTAGACCTAACCAGGCCATAAGATTGCGGGCTAGGAAGGAGACTATTGACAGACAAGGTGTTGCTAGGGTAACTGGTGAGGAATGGCTGGTAAAGAAGACTGGAGCTTACCTCCCAGGAGCTTATGAAGAAGTCGTAGATGTTGTCAACGCTTATGTTTTAACAGATAAGGTAAATATAGTTTCATTCAGATGAAGTGGCAATAAAAATAAGGTGTGATATTTTAAGGTGAAGCAAGAGTTCTAAATAGATCTATGATCAGTCAGTAAGTGTTTCAGGTTTTTCTTGGGGTAAGATTGCATTAATGCAGTCAAAACCCTTATGATGCTAGCTTGATAGTTATCAATTTTCCGGATTTTATCACTACTTTTTACATAACGCATTGATAACATTCCATGCATTCAACCAATGAAAATTTTATTTGAGGATGTGATTGTTTGAACTCTTAATCGTTCTTGGGTTATGTCCCTTTATAACGTTATTATACAAGCGGGGGCATCATCTGTGTCCCATGGTCACATTCCCCATTTATTTTTTAAATACATTGCATTGTAAATTGTGGACGGAAAAAAAAGATCAAACACTAGTATCCTTAAGATATTAGATAACAGACAGAACGAAAATGCAACATAATTGAAACAAACAATTTACTACTCATTAAAGTTAATTTGACATAATTGATCACCATTTTAATAAGGTACAAGACATTAGTCAGCATTAAAATGTATGGTGTTATCTTGCAGAAAGCCCTTCATATGATATCATTGAGAACATTTAAAGATGACTTTGGTGTAACCAGGAAGAACGGAGAGGAATGGTTGATCAAAATGACCGACACAGAAACACACATACCTAATGTGTATGAAGAGGTATGTGCCTTACTGGTGTAATAATTAACACACATACCTAATGTGTATGTAGAGGTATGTTCCTTACTGGTGTAATAATAAACACACATACCTAATGTGTATGAAGAGGTATGTACTGGATTTAAATAAGTGGTTTAACATGAAATGGAATATGGAATGACCAACTATTATTATTTGCGCTTAATGAAGGAAAACTCTTTTTGGAGAACACATCTTCTCTTTGGTTGAGTGTTTTTGGAGATCCATCCTAGATACAGTTCAGACTAGGTTAAGAAGTACTGCTCTAGAAAAGTACCAATTGAGTCAAATAGAGATTAGAATATTTGTAAATTTGAACGATTTGAGTACAACTCAATAAAGTGTACTGGAACAAACAAATCAAGCAAAACTTTTTTTCACACTTTGGTTTATTCCGTCAAATACGTCAAAACTGCTATGTCCAAAACGGGTTAATCCAGAGTCTTCATAGTTACTAGTGCCTCGATGGTTTAGTAAGGCCAATGTATTAGGAAAACTGAAACTAATCGCCTACTGAAAAGAAATAGTTGTTACTGCTGAGGAAAAGTTTCCTAGTTTTCTGATAAACCATAAAGACCATGACGGTTATATGTTGATTTTTCAGGTTGTCGGAGTCGTGAACATCACCACACTAACCTCTAGACAATATTGTATCATCCTTGATCCTTCCGATGAACATGGCAGACTACAGCTTGGTAGAAAGAAATTAGTAAAGGTAAATTAATTTTTTCATGACCTAGCAGAGGTAATGTACTGTACTACCGAGGTTAATCAAAGGCATGTCTTTGAGCTATTAGATGATATTAAGTATGACATTACTAAGTTGACAAGATGAAACGGGTTTATGTAAATAGGGGTAGTTTTAACCGTGGCCAAAGCACCCTGATGTAATGTAGGATGTAAAAAAAGCAGCTAATTTATTGACATCTACTGAAATGATTATTTTGAATGTCAAGCTAAAATCCAGAAAAAAACACCAATGGAGAAAAAAAAACAGAAATGTATCAACACTTGCAAACAAAATCTTAAGATAGGGTGGGGGGCATTTCATTTTTACAAGCTCCAAAAGAGTAATTGTCTTTGTATTCGTATCCAAATGTTACATTCTGGGAAAATTTGATTTTTATTAATATAAAGAGAATAAATTGATAGCAGAAGGTTGTTCTTTCATTTAACTGTAATGTTTTAATCAGTTGTGTCTTTCTTAATTTCCTCAGTAAATAGTTTTTCTCATTTCACATTGTATGTTTTAGGGTGAATGTTCTTTCTTTTTACTCCCTGGAGAACGATTTGAGAGAGGAATTCAAAATGTGTATGTACTTGGTGAAGATGAAGGTGTTATCCTGAGAGCCACAGAATCATTCATTGATAAAGATGCTGTAAGTTTAACTCTGAACACTATTAAATATTTAGGTCACGTGTTCGTTCATTCGTTTTGTGATTGGTTGTCTGTAATTATACCAAAACATTTAAACAAAATATTCTAAGTAAACAGAGAAAATGACCCAAGCTTGTGAAAAAGAATTTCTCATCAAGCTGTTATTGCAATCACGTGAAGTATGCCTGAATGCTAGTATACATATGCTTAAAATTTCAAAGGCCAGTGCCTATGGTATTACTTCTATTACTCCCTTGTCAGTACTTATTCTGGGAACACATTTATTACTGATAAATGTCTGAATGCAAATATTGATTTGTTTAAAAACAGTTTTGCGATTATTTCTTTTTGTAGGTGGTATTAATGCAAATTATAATTGCTGTGTTCCGTTTATTTTGTTTTTACTGGATATATATTTCTAATGACTAAGGCTTATTTTTCTAGAAAATAGAACGAAAACCAGGAGATAAATGGATGATTCGGGGACCAGCAGAGTACGTGCCACCTGTGGAGGTAGAGGTTACCATGAAGAGAACTGCACTGCCACTGGATGAAAATGAGGGTATCTATGTCAGATGTATCAAAACTGGAAAGGTTTGTCATACTGTTTTTATGTTCAACAAATCGACCCCTTTCGAGTTATTTCCTTCACCGGAAAAGTTCTTCAATTATGCGAGCCTTTATGACGTCATTTACCAGATACAGGGTATCGCCTGTATCCCTGCACTATTAAAGTTCATCAAGCGTCTTCGTGGTCGTCACATGTGCAGGATAAACTAGAAATAATGTTTATTCCGTAGGTACTTAGTCACAATTCCCTAACGATAGCAGTGCTGATTATCAATTAAAAGAAATTAATTTGCCGAATGGTTCGTGCAATATAGAATCATATTTTTTTCAACCGCTCGCTCAACATGTGAAGGAAGTGACGACACCCCATAACGCACGAATGATGTTCACTAAAACCAGTTTTTGATGGCAATGCGACGAACTCGAAAGTGGTCTATTGAAATGTGTGTATCTTTCTTTCAGAAGTCAGTTGATAGTTTGATATTTGGTAATGCAGTTATATTGAACATCAATGTGAAAAAGTAATGATTTAAGACATCAAATGCAACATTCCTTAGTCTGTAAAAATAACTGAATATAAACAGAGCTTAGATACCTTGATTGTTTAAAGCATATATTATTATTTATTACCTTGTCATATCAAGTACTAATGCAATTTTTAGGTCAGAGCTGTAACTGGAGAAACTTACATGTTAAATCAGGACGAGGAATTATGGGCCAAGGAACTTCCTCCTGCAGTCGAGACACTGCTGGCAGAGGCAAAAAATCCACAGGCCTTTGGCGAGAGAGGGCCAAAACCAGGAAGTGAGGCATCAAAACCACGAGACAAAACACGTGTAATCACGTTCCGAGTTCCACACAATGCTGCTGTACAGATTTACGATTATAAAGAAAAGAAAGCTAGGTATACTGATAACATTTGTAATTTATACCTCAAGGAATTTTCAATTATAACCTACGTTCAGAAATGATCAAATATTGTACATTTTTAAAGACAGTGATATATTATTGAGACATATATACTCAAACATGTAACATGTTCATGTTTTTGATGTAAACTGAAAACAAAAATTATTAAAATTTTCTCAAAAGTAGTCATTATAATTTGACTGTTCCTAGCCTCAATTCAGGAAAGGGTTTGACTAATCGTTGTATCTAACAATATGTAGGACAAGATAATGACATGCAAGTTATATTATAAAACAATAATTTAATCTTTCGTTACAGAGTGGTTTTTGGTCCCGAATTGGTTTTATTGGGTCCTGATGAACAATTCACAAAGCTAAGCCTTTCTGGTGGCAAACCAAAGAAAAACAATGTTATTAAATCTCTGTGTTTGTTTCTCGGACCGGACTTCAGTACTGACATCATTACTGTAGAAACATCTGACCATGCAAGACTGTCTTTACAGCTGTCGTACAACTGGCACTTTGAAATTGAGAGCAAAGAAGATAAAGCAGAGGCTGCTAAGATTTTCAGTGTACCAGATTTCATTGGAGATGCCTGCAAGGCTATAGCCTCCCGTGTCAGAGGGGCCGTAGCACAAGTACAGTTTGATGATTTCCATAAGGTAAGCATTATCTTTGTACAGGAAATGGTCGGTTTTTTAGGAAAATGATATTTGAATGAGGGCACACTCCAACCCACTCATGATGGGAACCTAAAACATTTTCTTAAATGGGTGTAAGACTGTATCAATTAAGTGTGTTCGAAGCGCTTTTTTGGATTTACCTACATCATAAACGCCCAAACACAAACTTTTGAAAGCCATGATGTGTAAATTTGTAGAAACGTAGGAGCCTATAAAATCAAAAGTCAGCTTAAAAGAAATACATTCTTTCATTTTAGAATTCTGCAAGAATCATCAGATCTTCAGTATTTGGTTTTGATGAGAAAGGAAAAGTTCGAGGAACGTTTAGATTCCCACAGAACAACTTGGTATTCACCAGTATTGATATCCAATCGGTGGAGCCTGTAGATCAGAGAACAAGAGATGCCTTACAGAAATCTGTACAGCTGGCCATTGAAATCACAACAAACTCACAGGAAGCTACTGCAAGGTAAGTAACTCTACAGAAATCGGTACAGCTAGCCATTGAATGCACATTAAACTCACAGGAAGCTGTTACAAGGTAGGTAATTTATAAACTTGGGTATTTATGACCAAACAAACTTGCAAGAAGCTGGGGCATATTCGAAAAGTACAATTCTAGGCATTTTCCAGGTCTAGTAAACTACTGTTGCCTCGGAATTGATTCAGAAGTGCACCAGCCATGTGTAAATGAATGTATTTGTCTGATAACTGACATTGTATGTCTGCTAGGTCATCAGAAGTATTATAATGTAACCGTTGTAGACTTACTAGAGGATATACAAAATATCTACTATTATAGACATCGTTAGTGACACATAGACATATTAAGTAGAATTGGCTGTGAACCAACAATATGTGGATGATAAGTTTCAGTAGTCGGAGTATACTGTTTGCAGAACATTCAAATTTGATAAAAAAAATCCATAGAAACAATATCATCCGAGTAAACTTATCTGTAAACGTTAAAAGTTGAAGATCTAGTTTTAATGTAACGTTTGGTGTACACCAAGGATTTGTATAGAATAGAAAAAAACTTCTTTATACTGATCATGTATAGTTTAAGCATGACTGTTTGTGTGTCTGAGTGCTTTTAAATGATTATATCACATTTCATGAGAAACTTGAAATGTATCATACATCCAAAATGAACTAATACGAAAATAGTTATATATGGAAACTCTTCCCATGCCAGAAAGAACATTTTTAGCATGACCCCTGTCCGTTAAGACTGATGGGTACAATTGTAGAACCTCCTTTGACATAAGTTAATTGATAAAGATTGCATTCGTCATTATTACTCAAAGTTTGCTTTTCACATCATAGACATGAAGCAGAGAGATTAGAACAAGAAGCTAAAGGAAGATTAGAGAGACAGAAGATTTCAGATGAAGCAGAGGCTGAAAAATCCAGGAAACAATTGTTAGAATTACAGGCAAACAGTGCTGCAGTAGAAAGTACTGGTCAGGCTAAAGCAGAGGCACAGTCTCGAGCTGAAGCTTCCAGGATTGAAGGCGAGGCAGCTGTAGACCAGGCCAAACTGAAATCACAGGCAATGAAAATTGAATCAGTAAGTAGCAGGGTTTATGTAAACTTTTACTGGTATTTGATGGCATAAGTGGTTTATAGGTCAAAACTTAAATCAGTCAGATTTGACAGCTTTACTGTTTGCGTTTGATGAAGTTATGAAGAATAGCTCACACACAAACTGTATTTGGAATCATTTCAGTATATAATAGAATTAATAATGGTACTGTTTCCAAGTTTGTATATGTCCCATGTTCTGTTTTGGTACAGTCCTTTTATTATCTGAAATTATCTTTACGGTGTTAGAATTTTCACGTTACACCAAAATTGCATGCTATCTACTCATAGAACTCGACTAAGCTGACAAGTTTTATTATTCAAGATAGAGCTAGTACAACAATATGAAATCTTATTTTAGGAATCTGAATTGGAACGGCTTACACAAGCAAGAGAGGCAGAACTAAAATATGTGAGAGAACAAGATGAAATGGAACTAAGCAAATCTAGGGAAATGTCAGCTATCGAGACAACCAAATTCAAGAATATGGTGGATGCAATTGGAGCAAATACCTTGGCAACCATGGCGTCCGCTGGACCAGACCAACAGGTCCGTATGTTGCAGTCCCTTGGACTGAAATCAACCTTAATCACAGATGGTAGCACACCAATTAATCTGTTCAATACAGCTAATGGTTTGATTGGTGGTATGGTGCCAGCAAAGAGGGGAAGACGGACTGACGACGATGAAGATTGCTATGAATAAATATTGTAATGTGCTTTTCTTGTTAACAATTTCTTGTTGTGCATGCGGAACCTTAATGTGAAGAGAGTATTTTTTACGTAAAATTGACCTGTTGAGAATGTAATATGTTATTGATACTCACATTATAAACAATTTGAGTATAACATGATATATCTTTGTTATATTTATATAAATACTGATGACGTTGTTTGATTTATAAACTCTGATACGAAGTGTGATAGAGGCGTGATGATTTGTTTATATTGTCTAGATGTGAAGGGAATAGTGTTAAAGTGATTAATATGTATGCTTTGTATATTTGATGTGATTTGTTTTTACTTAGTCTTAAAGTATCATGACTATGGTCACATTTTACACACTAATTTATCAATATTTAGTACATGTGCAATACATTTCTTTTGTATTTTGATAGTTCATCACAACATTGTTTGTTATTCATGTTTCAGAGATCAATTTCCATGAGTTATGTTTGTATATTTTATTTAACAATTAAATGTTTATAGATAACTAATCTTCAATATTGCATCACTGGCATGATTGGAAAACAAATTATCTCCCTTCCGTATAGAATTCTTTAAGTATTCGGCACATTTTCCACAAGAGTCGTATTGATGCAAAGTTCACACAAAAAAACGTTAAAATAACATATAAACAATGAAAAGAAATATCATGAATTCAGAACTCGTGAAATTTATAAAGTAGTTTATGAAATTATTATTCAAATCTCTTACATACAAACTTACTATATTTTCAATGGCTAAATACGCTACATGAACATATTAAATTTTTTTTCAACCGTAATATTTAGGTCATAGCACTCAAGTGAAAAATAAAAGAACGGGACGGGGCGTCACCATTGAGCTTCGGAAAGTGTAATTATGCACGATGTAACTATTAAAACTTGTTACAAATACCGATTTCATGTAAAAATAGCATTAATGTCACAAGTTTTAAAACTTTGAGTATTTGATAATCATTCGGATTAAATCTAATGAGCTAGTGTGCATGTTTGGATGAACAGTAATTCTAAACGCAGTCTAACGTTTGGGCAAACAATAGATATACATTGGAAATATCAATATACATGGTACCAATTTTACTGCACCAGATGCGCATTTTCTCTTCAGTGATGCTCGAGGACAAAATGTTTACAGAATCCAAACCCTAATACCAAGGATTTGTATAGTAAGAAACTAAATAAACTATACAAATCCTTGCTAATAAAAACGTTGGAAAGCCGATAAAACCAAATGAAACCACAAGTATAGCCAAATCCGACCAAGGAATCAGAGCTATACACAAAGAAGATACATTCCTTATTTTGTAGCTATTTCGAAATGCTATAGCTGCAAATTTAAAAAGAACAATATCCGTATTTTCATGCTAGTACTGAAGTTCTGGCTACAAGGTTGATGATACCTTCGGGGACTTGCAGTCCACCAAGAGAGATACCACCCAGTGGTAGTAATAACATTAACAGTACCTATTTTATTGCACCAGATGCGTATTTCGACAATTAAAGTATCTTCGGTGATGTTCGAGGACAACATATTTGAAAGTCAAAAACCTAATAAAACGTTGAAGAGCTTTTAAAACCACTAAGACCAAAAGTAAAGCTAAACATGTATAACCAGAAGCAAATTGCCAATCATGGATGAATAACATAACCATCTACAGTGGGGTTGCAATCCCTATGATATGTACTTCAGTGGATGTCGTCTGTTGCTGTATATCATATTTGTTTTTCGTTTAAGTTTATAAATCATGCCGTTAGTTTAAATTTCTCGTTTGAATTGTTTTAAGTTTGTCATTTCGGGGCCTTTTATAGCTTACCATGTAGTATGGGTTTTGCTCATTGTTGTACGGTAACCTGCAAACTTCTACGTCATCTGGTGGAGAGTTGTGTCATCAGCAATCATACCACCTCCTATTTTTGGTGTCTTCCTCCTATTCCCACTTTTTAAAAATACTATTCCTTCTATTCCCACATGCAAATAACAATAGATGTTTTGATAAATAATTTGTTTTTATAACAATCAAGGTTAATTAGAATTTCACCTAAGATTTACCTGTATTTTTTTTTAAAACATAACATATTTGGTACACTGTTTATGTATAATACCTAGTTTATTTCTTTTTTCGTCAAAGATATATTTAAAAATAAAGAATAATTATGATAAATAGATTGAAGTAAGATTTATTTTAAAATTTTTGAATTTATAACCTTAAAGAATTGTCTGCTGTACAAATAAATCATGATATAAAATAATATTATAACCAAGTATAATCTTAAGATGTGGAACAAAAGTATACTCTAAAAATATAATTACTTGGACCAATAACCAAAGACGTAAAATAATGGGTGAAAACTGTTAACTTTACTTCAAAGCACGAGCAATCAGATTTGATTAATTTTAATTGACTGAGTTAGAGTTTGGTGATGCAGCCTCCCACCTTGTTCACGTGGAATAGATTGATAAACTTTAATAGACTTGTATACAGTGATTGTCTAATGTATGTGCTAGAATGTGTGATTTGATTTAGTGCTGTTGTATAATTTGTGTTATATTATGCTTGCTTGAATCTGCAGTTGAATTTGTGTTATAAAAGAAATCATATATTTTAATTTCTTTCATATTTATTTTGTTTAAAAAAAAACAGAATTCATACAGATGCAAAAATAACTTATTACCTGTCCTAATAAAAAAAACACTGGTCAATTAACAGTTGATTAAAAAATGTTTGTACAGTATAATCCTTTGTTTGCACAAGTTTTCCCCCTATTCCCACATGAAATATTAACTTTTCTTACCAGATTTATAAAAAGTGGGAATAGAGGGAATGAACCCTATTTTTAGTCCCCTACCGACGAAGTCGAAGGGGACTTTAGGTTTTCACTCTGTCTGTCTGTTTGTCCATCCGTCAGTCCGGCAAATAAGTTTTCCACACTCTTTTTCTTCACACTTGAAGTTATTGATTTGATACTTGGTATATAGTTTTATCATGACAAGTTACAGATCAAGTTCGAATTTTGTTTTGGTTTGATGATTTTATCCAGAGTTATGGTCCTTGGACTTAGAAAATTCACTCAAATAATCAGTTTTCCACAATTTTTTTCGTCATGCTTGAAGATATTGATTTAATAATTGGTATATAGTTTTATCTTATCAAGTTACAGATCAAGATCGAATTTTGTTCCGGTCTGATGATTTTGTGCAGAGTTATGGTCCTTGGACTTAGTAAATTCACTCAAATAATCAGTAAATATATAAACAATATTTTTTTTCATCATGCTTGAAGATATTGACTTGATATTTGTTATATAGTTTACACCATGACAAGTTATAGATCAAGTTAGCATTTTGTTCCAGTACAATAAATTCTTAACCGGTAGGGGACTATGTATTGCCATGCAATTTATACTCTCAAAATGCTTGTTATATCAATAAACGATGTCTAAAGAACGGTTGGTACTGTTGATAACCTCGGCGAATCACGGTTCACCAAATATGGTATTAAAAATTCAGGTAAAAAGTAAAATAACAAAAATAACGAACTCCAAGGAAAATTCAAAATGGAAAGTCCCTTATCAAATGGCAAAATCAAAAGCTCAAACACATCCAACAAATGGAAAGCAACTGTCATATTCCTGACTTGGTGCAGGCATTTATGTAGAAAATTGTGGATTAAGCCTGGTTTTATAGCTAGCTAAACCTCTCACTTGTATGACAGTCGCATAAAATTCCATTAAGAGCAAACAGTTATGCAACATTGGCTTTGGTGTGCCTGGTGTACAAAATTGGAATCCTGGTATCTATGATGAGTTTATTCAGCAATTCGATTGATTGATATAGAATTTGCTTATTTGTTGCTTTCTCAACGTCCTATACGAAACTCATTACCAATTTGTTATTTTTAGAAGAGAATTGATATATATTAATTACTTCTTTCGTCCAAAGTTCTTGTGGTTTTTATACGACCGCAAAAAAAATTTGCGGTCGTATATTGGTATCACGTCGTCGTCGGCGTCAGCGTCGTCCGAAGACATTTGGTTTCCGGACAATAACTTTAGTTTAAGTGTATGGATCTCTTTGAAATTTAACAAAAGGTTCAATACCACAAAAGCAAGGTTGGGATTGTTTTTGGGGGTGATCATGGTCCCAACCGTTTAGGAATTAGGGGCCAAAAAGGGGCAAAAACAAGCATTTTTCTAGTTTCAGGACAATAACTTGTGTATAAGTATTTTGATTGCTCTGAAATTGTACCAAAAGTTTCAATACCACAAGTAGAAGGTTGGGATTCATTTTGGGGGTAGTTGCCCAAACCGTTCAGGAATTAGGGGCCAAAAAGGGTCTAAAACAAAAATAAATCTAGTTTTCAGACAATAACTTGTGTTTAAGTGTATGGATGTCTCTTAATTTGTATCACATTTTACAAAAAGAAAATTTAATCAAAATTAATTATTTTGGAAAGGAGGGGGGGGGGGGGGTTAAATTTTATATTTTTTTTAGGGGAGGCAATTTTTTTCCTCAAAATAAAATTCTCTTCAAATATTAATTTTTTTGGAAAAGGGGGGGGGGGGGGGGGGGGGTAAACCAATTTTTTTAGGTGGGGGTCAATTTTTTTTCCCTCAAGATTTTAGAAATTGTCTATTTTCCAAAGAAAAAATTGGGGGTCACAATTTATTTTGCTAATTCTTTGTATATAGTCTGAAAACAGATTTACTAAGTATTGCGCAACAGCACAGTGTATTGCACAACAGCAAGAAATCTTCAATTGAATATAAATTCAAATCATACAACCAATTTCAAGTTCTTTGACACATTTATTCTGTGTCAGAAACCTATAATGTGTCAAATATTCAATTACAATCCAATGCAGACCAGTATCAAGCTTGAAAATTGTGTCTATTTTTGCCCCAACTGTTCAGGGTTGGACCTCTGCGGTCGTATCCAGCTGCGCTTGGCGAAGCAGTTTATTTTTTATCGGGCTTGCATTTTTAATTGGAAACAATTATTTGAGGAAAGCGTACTAGAAAACGGGTTTGAATTCGATATAGAGGAATAGTAGAGCACGAAAAATAGCATGTAAGACGAAGAATACAGCACTTATGCGCTATTTAAAATTCAGTCAAACAAAATTATAATATATGTCGTCTATATAAAAGATAACACTATAAAATCAACCATTAATGGATAGATACTTCAAAATAAATCATATTTTGATTGTTCAAGTTAAGTTTGTAGTTTTCGTAGTTTAAATACGAGTTTTAATGGAGTTCAAGGCCACGTACACGTACACCAATCTCGTCCCAACTTCTCATTAAAAATGTGATTTTCTATAAGGACGGTTTTGCACATCTTTTAGGCTTGCTTAAATCAAATATCGGACACTTGTCTTTTTCAATACTTAATTATTATTCCAATAATACACGAGATATGAATCATGTGTCTATCGTGAAAGACTTGCATTTAAGTATAACAAATATGTTTTAATTTTGCGATTTA